TGGTCCCGGACATTTTCCAAATCCTCGGCGCGGGCTCCAAGACCATTCCGCAGAGGGCTCCAACAGGCTCCAGGGCAGCCCAAGAGGGCTCCAAGACGGCTCCAGGAACGACTGCAGGGTCTCATGTTTCCTGTGTTTTCTGCAAGGCGGCTCCAGGAAGACTGCATGTCTTATGAGGATGGCTTCCGCCTCTTGCCCCGAGCATCCCTAACTGCCTGAACGGTTCCCACTCGCCTTCCGAAAACCCAGCGTTTGCCCAAGCGCGTTCCAGACGGTATTCGCTGGAACGCGCTTCGGACGTGGGCGCCCTGCCACGAGCGCGTTCCGGGAAGATGCTCCCGGAACGCGCTGAAAAGATCTGGCCACATCTCGGGGACGCTCCCGGCACCGCTGCCCCAGCCTTTCCGGCAGCCTCCACAGCGCTCCAGGAGGGCCCAAGACGCCCCCCAGGAGCCCCCAGAATGCGAAAGGATGGCCCAAGACGCTCCCGAGCAGCCCAAGTCAGCCTTCCGACGGCTCTCGAGGCTCCCAGGTGTCCTCCAAGAGACCCCAAGAAGTCTGATAGGTATCACGGTACGGCCCGAAGAGGCCAAAGTCGTATAACTGGTCTTTTCAATGTTTTTGGCTTCTCGCGTTTTCGAGCTTCCATCGGTCCAAGAGCGCCGAAGCGCCTCCATGGGGGTACCGGGTCTCATTTTCCTTGTGTTTTTAAAAGGGTTTCCGCGTCCTGGGCTTCGGAGGCCGCCGCCTCCGACCCCCCATGGGAGGAGGGGCGGCCGGGGAGTTCCAAAATAGTCCAGGAGGGCCTCCAGAGGCCCACAAGACGGCCCAAGCGGGCCCCGAGCCGCCGAAAGACCGGTCCAGGACGCCCAAGATAGGCCCAAGACGGCCCGAGAGGCCCCCCAAGGCACTCCACGACGCTCCAAGACGCCTCCCCAGAGCGCTTCAAGAGGCCGAAATCGCCAATTTTACAAAGATGTTCGAACGATTTTGGCCTTCCAACCTTTTCGGCTGTCTGACGTTCCAAGACGGCTCAATAGGCCCCCGAGAGCGCCCTAAGACGGCCCAAGAGGGCCCCAAGGCGGCCCCAGAGTCGCCCAAGACAGCCCAACAGAGCCCCAAGACGGCCCCAAGATGCGCCCAAGAGGGGGACCACGATTCCAAAATTCGACCCTCCCGCTTGAAGAGTGCCCCAGGAGGCCCCAAGGAGCCCCAGGAGGCCCCCAAGAGGCACCCAGGAGGCCCAAACGATGCCTAAAGAGGTCACAAAACAGCCCCGAGGAGGCCCCACAACGGTCCCAAAACGGCTGCCGAGAAGCTGCGAAACTGCCTTCACGACGTCCCCGACAGGCCAACCACGAGATCCAAACCAACACCCATGAGGCCTCTGACCCACCACCCAGGGCACGGTGGCGGGAGCAGTGACAGCACGTGTGCACAGCATGTTCCGGCGGGAGCCGTCCGGAACACGCTGCAGGAGGAGGAGGAAGATCAGGAGGAGAGAGAGCTGGAGTGGGAGGAGGAGGAGGGGGACGAGGAGGAGGAAGAGGCCTCCCAGACCGCTCCAAGATAGCCGAAGAGGCTTCCAAGAGGGCCCTGGGCGGCCCACGAGGGCCCCAAGGCGGTGCCTGAGGCGCCCAAGACGGCCCGAGAGGGCCCCAAGACGGCCCCAAGAGAGGCCCAAGAAGGGAAGCACGAACCGAGAATCCGAGCTTTCTACCCCGAGAGGTTCTCGGGAAGTCGCAAGAGGCCCCCAATCGGATCCAAGAGGCCCCCAAGAAGCTCCCAAGAGGGCCGACGAGGTTCCAAGAGATCTCCCAAGGTGGCCCCAAGAGGCACAACTCATTGTTTTACGATTGGGCTTTGACGGGTTTTAATTGTTTCGGCCTTTTGGCATCCCGATGCTCCAAGACGGCCCGAGGCTTCCAATACCGCTCCCACATAAAGGAAGAGGCCTCCAAGAGGGCCCCAAGACGGCCCGCGAGGGCCCCAAGACGGTGCTTGAGGCGCCCACGACGGCCCGAGAGGGCCCCAAGAGCCCCACGAGAGGCCCAAGAAGGGGAACGCGACCCAACAGCAGAGCGGCCCCCCCACAAGGTCCACAGGAGGCCGCAAGAGGCCCCCAAGTGGTCCGACGAGGACTCCAAAAGCTTCCCGAGGGCCTAAAAGGCCCCTAGGAGACGTCCAAGAGGTTTTGAAATAGCCCAAGAGTGCCTTCGATGCGTCAAAACTGCTTCCAGGAGGCCCCCGGGAGGCTTCCGGATTGCCTCAATCTGGCCGCAGGTGGCCTCAAGTCGGGCCTCCACGCAGCCAAGACGGCCAATGACGGCTTCAGATTGCAGAACCGATGCCCCCAAGGGGCCCTCAGAGCCCCCCCAAGAAGCACCCAAGAGGTGCCTCCAACAGCCAGTTGACGAAGCATGCGGAACACCCCAGAAGCTCCTCAGATGCCGTCGCGCGCCTGTGCTTGATAGCGTTGTCCAAGATCGTCCAGCCCCCCCCCGGCCTGGGCTAGAACCTGAGCGCGCGCGAAGCGCGCGCGATGGTTCTAGTATGTATATATTTGCATCTAGTCCAGGCTTGCTCCAGGCAACCATTGCACAGACATAAGCTTTCGGAGGTTCGCGCGGGTTTGTCGGGCTGGCGTTGGCTCGGCCCATGTCGCCGCCTGCGGCGCCGCTCCCGACGCGGTTCGCGCGCTAGGGGAGGGGTGGTCGAGCGCTGGCAAAGAGACCCGCTTAGCCCTCCAAGTCAGGTCAAGTCTGGTCGGGGAGCCCTACGGAGGCCCCTCGCTCCGCAAGCGGAGACGGAGGGCACGAGACACTACGGCAATCAAACACGCATGCAAGATAATTGGCTGATGCAAATTTGTGCAACGTAAATTGCACATCAAGTGTACCACCACATGTGGTTCATGAATGAATTCTCAAATTGCTGCCAGGGAAAGCGTTGTTGGCTGCGGATAACATCAATGAGACTCGTGCCGCGCTCGTGTTGCAGAAACGTAAGATAGGTATGGGCAAAATTCCCAAGGGTACCCTTGCATCCTTGCCTCTTCGGTCCATCCTTGGTCACTTTCGTTGGCCGCGCATGGGCCCTTGCGTCCTTACCGCGCATCCTTCATTTTCGGGTTGACTGCATACTCGTGCAGTCTTTCACTTCCCCAGGTCCACGCCATCTCTTGATGTGGGCATCCGATAACAAAAAAATCCCCCCCAAGTTCCACAATGGGCAAGGACACGATTTGGATTTTCGGCCGGAAGTTTTTTTAAGCCTCCCCCCTTGGACTTCGATGTCCCTCCCCCCCATAGTTCGAAGCCTTCTCAAGATTTACCTTGCTGGCTTCCTTGGCCTACACGCCGGTCGTTGAAAGTAGGTATTTTTGGATTCCCAGATCCCGGTCTACTTCAAGCGCCTTCCTACCTCAAGAATCGACATGTTTTTGCTGTGTTTTGTTGTTCTCTGGGAGGACCTGGACCCAATCCGCTATATCCGCCTTCCTGCTTCATGTTTCCACCCACCTCTTCCGACCGACGTGTGCTCGTGCTCTCGCCCTTTCCTTCGGTGCCTCGCCCCGCCTCGGTTGCCGAGCCCTCGCCCGCACAGCAGGCCCCCGGGGCGCCTCTCTCTCTCTCGAGGGCTCGCCTCTTGCGGTGGCGCGGGATGCCTGCACAGACGTAGGGAGGGGCCTCAGGACGCGATGCATCCTTGGTCGTCCTGTCTCGCCTCCCCTTCCTCCTCCTCTTCCTCTCACCTACCGTTCCGCTTCTCTTTCCTCGACTTCCCCTCTGCCTCTCCTGCGTGTCGCCCCCCCTCCTCCCTCTCCTCGCTCCTTTGTCTCCCTTCGCGTTCCTCCACTTCGTCCCCACCTTCCGGATGCAGAGTGAGAAGTTACCCTCTCCTCTCCTCCCTATTTCCTTCTCTACTTTTTTCTTTTTTTTTGTCTTTTTTTTTTTTTTTTTTCTTTTTTTTTTATTTTTTTTCTTGTTTTTTCCTTTCCCGCTGGACGAAGAGGGAGGAGAGTGATTAGAGGTGCCTCCCCCAGCTATCCGCCATCTTGTCCCGTTCCTCCTCCTGCTCTTTCTCACCCAATCCTGCATCCCCGTCCTCTCCCTCTCTCACACGTTCTCCCTTTCTGTACTTATTGTTTTATGTGTTTTCTCTGTCTCTTTTTGTTCCTCTCTTTTCTATTTTTTTTTTTAATTTTTTTCTCTCTCTCTCTCTCTCTTTCTTTGCGCGGTAGGGCCAGAAAGTCAAATGAGGTGTCCGATGATAGCTTCTTTCTGCAGGGGGCCGCCCCCCATCCGTATAACCCTTGCACAGTGTTATCCGCCCGTCGGGTCTGAGCGCTGAGGACGTTAGACGCGAGAGCCCTGTCTTGAGAAGGGACCGCCCTCCCTGCCTGCGGCTGCTGCACAGTGCTGCACATCGGGTCGTAAAAGTTTATGCTGCTTCGATCGATAGCCCTGCTTAGCGAAGAGAGCTGCCCTCCGTCCTTCACGCTGCTTCGCACTCTTGCTGATCGGGCCGTCAAGTCAACTCGGACTGAAGCGGCAGCACCCTTTGCAAAACGAGCCGCCCTGCATCCTTCTGACTGGCAGGAAGTACTTAGACGAATGTGCGCGGCGTATAGTCGAGAGCATCATTTGAAAACGAACCGCCCTCCAGCCTTGAGGCTGCCAGGAACGTGTAAGACGAATGAACAATATTTTGGACACCACCCGCTCTCCAGCCGTGTAACTGTTGCCACGGAAGCAGGACGGATGGAAAGGGAATCTGATGGAGATCCGGAGATAGGAGGAAGATGTGATGGAACCGCTGTAGGGAGAGGAGGGGGAGGGGAGAGGAGGAGGAGGAGGAGGAGGAGGAGGAGGACGCTGAGGAGGAGGAGGCGGAGGAGGAGGAGGAGGAGGAGGAAGGGCACGAAGGGGACGGGGAGGACCTGGAGGAAGGATGAGGGGAGAGGGGGGAGGCGAAGAGCGGCAGAGAAGAAGGGGCAGGGGACCACCAGCTCCCTGACGTCCACCTCCGCGACCAGCGCCACCACGCTCTCTGGCACCAGCTCCACCACCGTCCGGACGGTGTCCGCGACGAGCACGTGGTCGGCGTCGTCGACGACCACCGTGCACTCCACCACGGAGGGGCCGTCCTGGGCTCCCCTCGAAACCCGCAAGGAACGACCTATATCTCCATCTAGGGGGGTTTAATCGGCCAGTGGGGCCCAGGCCACGCCGCTGGGGATGGGGATCGGATAAACGATACTCACCTTCTTCCTCCCCTCGATCACCAGTGCTCGAGATAAACGACGTTTTGGCGACTTCGTGAGCCGTTTTCGTGTTGACTCGTTTCGCGGCAGAGGCAGAACGAAGACAGGACGAAGGACAACGGAAACAAGACGAAAACGAACAACACTGTTTATCTCGAGCACTGTCGAAGACAAAGCGCCGTAAACATGGACTTTCGGAGATCCGCGCGGATGTCTCAGATCGGCGCTGGGGCCCCCTGGCAGCACCTCCAGCGCCACCGTTGGCGCGATCCGCGCACCAGGTAGGGGGGTCCAGCGCCGATCCACGATCCGAGCGGAGTTCCGAATATTCACCTCCATGCAGTTCGTTTTCCCTCTTTGCTCGTCATCATCGTCCTCTCGCTCCTTCCGCCATCGTCCTCCTCCGTCAACAGTCCTGGTTCCAGCCTGCTTCCCTCTCCGTTCCTTGTTCTGCTCCTTGCTTACCCCCCTACTGGCCGGGAGCTTGCACTCCTGCAGACGGGCGACGTTGAGCGCGGGCGATGTTGAGCAGGGACCCAGATCTCGGCAGTGGCAGGAGTGACAGGATCGGCTGGCGAGAATGACCTGTCCAGGTCTCTGGGAGCCCAGCCCGGAGCGGAGCAGGAGGAGGGCGAGCCTGGGGCTCCCTCCCGACCTTGTTCTCCGCGCCGCACCCCTTTTGCGTTCCGCGGCCCCATCGGGAGCGCCCACTGGGCCCAAATGTCAGCGTTCGCAGTGCGGCGCTGCTTCGTTCTGCGGGGTGGTCTCCGATCCGGGCGAGGCCCCGCGGGGAGCCCGCGGGTCCGCGCGCGAGTCCTTTTCAGCTCCGTTCGCCTGCCACTGGCGCCGCGCGCGAGCACTGCGCATGCAGGCCCGCTCCCCCGGGGCCCAGAGAAGCACGACACCGGACATCAGGCAGTGGCGAGGTGTCCGGGCTTGCCTATAGGCCCACCAGAGGATGGTCTCAGAGCATTCGTAATTTGCACGGGCAGTTCTCAAGACATTTCTGGCTTGGACCGTCTCTCTTTAGCGCAGCGGGATGGTGTTCTCAGAACATGCACTTGTTTCTCGAACGTTTTTGTATTCTAAGAACATGTCGTGGTAGGCCTACAGGAATGCAGGGACGGTCGGCCCCTGCCCAACAACAGTCAACCCATGGGCGCCGGCCGAAACTCCAGGCGATGACGAACAATTTGTGCACAGGGGTGGCTGGTCGCAGTCCTGGCAGCTAGGAGCAGATTGGAGGTTCCGTGGCCGGCGCTCGTGGGGGAGCGCGCCGACGTCGGCGAGGTCCGGGGCCCCAGAATGGGCCCGAAGGTCCCGTGCAGCCCGCTCTCGCTTCCTATGAAGAACGCCGGCGTTGAGAGCTCATATGCCCTCCTCGTCATCCCTCCTTCTTTGTCTGTTCCTCGGATCCGCGATCCGCGGGAGACGCGCAGATCGGGGGAGCGTAAGACCCGGGTTTGCCAGGACTCGGGTTCGCCATTTTTTTTTGACGACCGCGACTCGGATTTTGACGAGGAGGAGTTTCGTGGGATGTCTGCAGCGGGAGGCCTCGTCTAAATGCAGGCTCGGCCTCGTCATTTTTGTTGACGACCTCGTCGGGGATTTCCGAGTCCCCCGTACCCGGGTCTTACGTCTCCCCGAGCAGAGTGTGAAGCGGACGCGCATCCGGAATTCCCTCACCTTCCGCGTTGGTACCACCCTTTCTCTCCCTTACCAGCCTGTGCTAGCAATTGTTCTCCAAACCCACGGGTAAGTCGCCCCAGACGCTTACAGGCACGATGGGACTAACGCCGGACCGTGTGAGTCCCTGTGACAGCCCGGCTGCAACTGCATCAGCAGCTGTTGGCTACGCGCAGATAAGCTTCCGCCAGCGGGAGCGCCACGACGCACCCCGCGAACGTCTGGTATTAGCCGCGGAACGCAGTCTCTTGCGTCGGGCCGCTTGACTGGGCCAGGACTTGGGTTCGGGCTATGCGCAGGAGTCCTGGCTCCGATCTGAATCAGCACTGTTAGCACCCCGAGCGATTCACATGTGATTTACGCACCAGTTTCACCACCCTTGGCGTTGACTAGGTGCATCAGCAGCTCCGCGGCAGCTCCCAGCATCGAAGTGGCGCTCGTGCCTGTGCAGGTCCGAGCACCAAGGCGCCTGCTCAGCTACCATCGTGGTGGAATCTTGCAGAGAAGGATCTCCATCCTGGCGCTATCATCCTTCCGTCCGTGATTGCCCTGTTCTGGCTCACCTGCATGGTGCTTGGAGGAGCCGGATAACGAGGCGGAGGCGGTGGCAAGGAAAGCATCATCATTGGTCCCCCGAGCGAAAGTCCGTTTACCCGTTTCGCCACTGGGTGCAGGACTTGCTCGTTTGGAGCGTGCTCCCAACCGGCATGGACAGCTATCATCGTGAGACTCGGTTTCGCCGCCCGCGAGCCCAATCGTTCCACGAACTTCCCGGACACGGCAAACGGAGGATTGGTTAATGGATAGCAGAACGACGCCGTCAACTACCTCACCGCGAACCTCCCCACCCAGTTCAGACCAGTTGGCGATTAGTTACGTCAACAGCCATCCGCAAGCTCTATGAGTTCTCGAGGCGCCACAACGAGACCACCGACGCGCTGTTTTCGCGGTTTCTTACGATACGATTCCGAGCTATGCACAACGGTGGAGCTGCGAAGTCATAGGAAGGCTACAGCCGCCTGCTCCTCCGAGCGGTCAACGTCTCCGCCAGCCAATTCATGGCGCTGCTCGAGCCATTCGGCACACGCTACCCAGCCACGGAACCCGAGTTCGCAAGTTTCACGACCATGTGCAGGCGCGTGGGTCACAGTGCGGGGCATGCACCCAACAACATCACCAGCGCCGTACGTTCGCCGCCATCTTGCGCGTACCTCGTAGGCATCACCAGCGACAACAGCAACGACTCACGAGCAGCAGACACTTGACACTCACGAGGGCTCGATCCTTGGGCTGCTGGCGCTTCCGGACTCCTCGGTGCCGGAGGTGTCCTAGCGTGCGCCGGCTGCTCTCAGCTGGGCGCCGCGCCGCAGGTTGAATCGATTGCCGCCGCGTGGCCGCGCGCCGAGGAAGAGCAGGCGCACTTCAATTGCGCGAGTGGCGCCAGTTCCAACGACAGCTCCAATCCTGGGGAAGGGGCGAGGCCGCATAAAGTAGCCCGTCGAGGAAGTTTGGAGATTCACCACATAAGACAGGACTGAGCTGGGTAGCGCAGCTTCCTCGCGCAATTGACCGACGACCAGGTCGACAACGCATTCTACGGAAGCAACGGCAAAGGGAAAGGCAAGCGTTCCCGTTGCATGGGCAAGTGCCTCAAGGGGCACCTTCAGGGCTACGACGGGACTGCGATAACGCGCAGCATCTGCGGCTCGGAGTACTACTTCAGAGCTCAATGCCCACGGGCTGGCTCTGGCATCTCACGTGCTCAACGAGGCAGCGTGACCTTCGGAGGTTGCGCCGGCCCGGGGTCCACTGACGGCGCCCTGGAAGCCGACCCCTCCTGGCAGCTCGGTGCTTGCCTCAATGGGGAGCTCCTTCTCGACCGCAGTCAGGGCGCGGCATGTCTCCAGCGCAGCGCGTCACAGAGGGCCCCTGGCGGGTTCCCGAGCGCATCCGCGGCTCGCGGTCGGCGGCCTCGCTGGCCGTTGCCCAGGGCCGCGCGTGCACGGGCGCGCCCGTCATAAGACCTGCCTCTCGATAGAAAAGATGGGCAACAACACCCTGACTCACGGGGTAGATGTTCGAATTAAGTGCGATGAAGGCGCTGAAGTTCATGGCGCTGCTTGGCCGAAGCCGTCGGCGCGGGGTCTGACGGCGCCCCGGACATTCCAAGACGGAGAATTCCAACTCCAAGTTTAAAGGTTGCCAACGTCGCGCGGGCCCGATCCGCCTGCCGGTCTGCCGCAGAGAACGCAGTCCATCCACTCATTGAGGTCGCTTGGGGCCGCGAGTGAGGGCCAACCCCTCGCGCAGACCTTGACGTCGCGGGCACTCCGCCTACGCGCGCCTGAACGACGGCATCACGCCCGCGACGTTTGCAACTCGCGCCCGTCCGCCGCCTCGTCTCCGAGGCGACGACGCCACGTCGACACATCGCTAGAAGGGCCCGATCCGGCCCGGAGAGGCTCTGGCTCTGCACCCGCTTCATGTTTGCTTTGCTGGACCCCGAGGACTCAACGTCGTTGACCTCCTCGGCGTCATGTCTCGACCTGTCCACAGTCTGGATGCTTCGGATACGGCGGATCCGCCTGGTGGCATGCTCGGCCGCTGGCGTTCCAGTCCAAGACCTCCAGCGATCGCCCACCAGGTCGTTGACTGCGTCGCGCTCTCTGAAATCGTCGCTGGGGCCCACCCCCGGGAGCGGGTCGCGGGCGGGAGAGAAGCGCGCGAACTACTGGCCGATCGCCCCACATTATAAGAGATGGACGCGTTGACAAAGGCCGACCAAACCATTTTCTGACGCATGGAACTCTTGATCGCGACGATGGCGGCGGAAAAGACAGGATGGAGCGACGCGTTCTGGGCCCAGACGCGCCCGTGGCACCACCGCGAGGTCCCCGTCTCCCACGTCGCCTTGGCAATGGCCTTGATGGCTGACCGAGGAGGCGGCGCGACCAGCGGCGACTTCCATGACCAGAGAGGGCGGAAGCATGCGCATGCCAGTCGGGGCCGCGCTTGCTGTTGACCTGGGGTAGAGCCCAGGGCGTCGATGGAGGAGAACATTTTGGCCCAACCTCCCTGCGGCTCGATGGGGCGATTAGGGTTGGCGGCGGCCGCGAGCGCACCGCCGTGCTCGATGAGCTTGTCCCCGTCGTCCGCCGTTCACCACAACTGACGCTTCTACTCATT